TTTGGCTTCGGCGGTGAATAGAGCCAGTCACGTGCCATCAATTAAAACTCGCCGTTTCCGACCCTACGTGCGATTTCATTATTTCTGCCGATCACAATTTCAAAATATCCGTATGTACCATTGCGCGTACCGTTGTTATTCTGTTTGCGCGTCATTGCGCTTTGGACCGTGTTGTCCGACCGAGTGCGGCGACTGGGAAAATGTACGTGTACAAATTGGCATAGACGTGCGCGATTTCGATGTACTTGCCTGCATTTTGTACGATCGTCACGATACAGCGGGACGCAAATTGAATAATGGCACATTTTATGCGGTTAATTGATTAAAGACACGATGCGGAAATGAACAGGCAGTCCAATTGAAGCTGTCAAGTGCAAATTTTAGTTGAAGAAGCTAAGCTCTTTCAACTGAAAAATGCTCGATGGTATGGGAAAAAGTACTCTCTCTCTTTAGTGTTCGTTTTGCAAATCGCAAATCTTCTTACAATAGTTTTTTTTTCTACACATTGCTGCAAAATTACGCGGCCAGCTTTATTTTGGATTCAGTAATGTGCAAGCAAACGCGAGCTTTATCGATCTCTCGCGCATCGTCGCCTCGGCGCGTCGCGCCGGCCGATCAGCGAATGAGTGCAGCGATCGGAAAAATTCGGAAATTTATTCGCTCGTATATAACGATCGTTTTATTGACGGGCGCATTATTCCACACTCACACCTGTCACTCCGTCCCCGTGTACTGTTTAGCGCACGACGACGCTGTGGCTTTACAACTCAATACCGCGCGCATCACATATTATTTCGATAAACGAAAACCTGTGTACGTGCAGCGAATTGTATTTACTGTACAAGGATTTGCGATTTTATTGTCTTGCATAATTTATTCCTGACATCCATAATCATAGGATCGGAATTTACGCGGTACGAAGCGCGCGATATTAATTGAAATTTCATAGATTAACGACGTTAATTGATTGATATGATGTAATGATTTCGGTTACCTAGAAAGCCGTCAATTCGCGTCCGCATTAATACCTGCCGAAATTATTCAATGTGAATATTGACGTGGCATAACACACATCATTATTCCATTATTATCAAATATCTCTGTCGACACAAACGTCTCGACACTTCGAGGTTTCAATAGACTTCTCTCATTGATGTTAATTATGCCGAAAGACAGGTATAATGGACCATAGCAATTGACTGAAATCTTTGTATGAAGAGATCAATACTTGTACATATATTAATGCTTTTGTTAACATGAATGTCTTTCGAATTTGATTGCTAAATAATTTGTTTCTTTATTATTTCACACGAGTGAAATTTTTCTTATTTTAAATATGCTTATATTATAAGTAAAAACTAAAAACTTCATCAATATATGTTTTATAAAATATATCTGTATAAAATGAATATGTTGTTTTATTTCAGTTAATAAATTATTTGAATAAATATTATAAAGCATAATTTTTTGATATTGTATTGTTATATTTCATACAATTTCGCAAAAAATTATGTTTTATATATTTATACATATTGTATGAAGTATTTTACAAAAAAGAAACATATGTCATGGAAAATTTTCCGTTACTGATCTATCCTTTTTATGTAGAAATAGAATTCTCATAATGTATATTTTATTTTGTTAGCTAAAAATACAAAAATTGAATAATTGATTTTAATATAATATTAAATGAATTAATATTGATATGAATATAATATTAAAAACAAATATGTTTTTCTCTCTATTTCGAAAATAATGAAAGAAAAATTGAATATTTGTTAAAAAATAGAGAAACGATACATATTGCTTCTGAATCAAAAATTTTCGCAGAAAATTTTGGATTACAAATTAATTGCTTATCTATTTTTTTACTAAAAAATAAAAACTGCTAAAGCTTGCTTTTACTCAAAGAATTTTTGGAATTTCTCACCGCGGTGTAACGAATCAGTCACTTTCCGAGCAAATCTAACTTTTACTCTCTCATAACAGCATACTCTTGCTGCCGCGAAGGGAAAAAGGAGCGAGAGCACAACTGCCCGTAAGCTATCCCAGACAGATTTCAAGTTCGCCGAGGCGAGATTTGCGTAACAAATAGTTTGCCGGAGCTTTATTGTTTGCCTCAAGGCAGAGGGTAAGACAAGCAGGATATGCTCATACCCACCTGAGTCACACTCGCTTCATCCTCTCGTCGCGCGTCGCGCTCGCGCGCGTTTGCGTATCCTGCCGCATAAATTACGTTAGCGCCAGTTCATCAACTTTCGCGCGAATGAATAAACTTTCCGGCGGATTCTCATTCCGGATTATTACTGCCCCGCGCAACCAACCCGGGAATTTTAGCGTAATTGTAAAACCGCAATGCGCTTGACATCGATAATTCGTAAACTAATATCGAACGAAATTGCACGCGTAACTTTTTGCCGCTTATCCCACCTAATAGACTAGTTCGCATTATTATAAATCTTTCATGTAATTACCGGAGCTTTGATGCACTCCATGATTGATAAGAGTTATAAGATCAATCGTTTACTTACAGCGGTGGAAGATCATTAAGGATGCGAAACAACATTTCGAAAATTAGGTAATAGCGTGTTATTAAAATTCTCATCAAACTTCGCGAAAGTAATTATAAATGTTCTAAAATCCCATTTTCGAAAATAATTTCTGAATAATTTTAATTCCGTCCTGCACATCTTCTTTCGAGAAAGTCAACTGACGCTTCGAAGAAATCACTGCATAGCCAAATATATTATCTTGGCGTAATATAAATAAGATTGCGACCTTTCAGCTCTTCTATCAGATTCTTAATTCTCTGGCTGGGATGCAGCACGAACAAGCTTTACCGCGTACAGACCGAGAAGCTCTTCTCGATGTCTGAAAAATCGCGGAGATGCTTGCGCGCGATCACACTGTCACTTTCTTCACTTGTGTCGAAATACATTGCGCGACAACGTGTAAAAGTACTAAGAGGAGCACTTTTTTGTCGAAGAAAAATTTTATCCTCGAGACTTAGAAAATTTTCGTGCAAAGAATCAAGATATTGCCGGAACTCTTTCGTTTTACTTTTCGTTTCATCGCTTCGGGCGTTGAGAACAATTGTCAGAATTTTCAAGAAGCTGTCCAGAACTTTTTAAAGAAAACGCCAGGAAAGATCTGTGGAAAATCTTTCCCCACTCGTGGGAGAAAATTGGGAAAATCCGCGACGTGGGAGCGTTTGGAAGTCGGTTAAAATCGCGCTGCTGAAATGTTGATTAGTCGCGCTAAATTCGCGCGCGTCGTCAACGGAAACGCAATATTGGATCAGCGTGCGGGAGAAGGTGCGGGGGCGCACGTCGCACTTTAGCCCAGCCAGGGCAAACAGCAAAGCTCCACAAACTACTCGTAGCAGAAAGGGCGAGCACATATATATAGCGAGTGATGAAGAGACGCGCAAGACTAAGCACGGGCGCCGGTCGTTTCCTGGATGCTTCCGCGTGTTTGTCCGCCTCAAATACGTGCCTTCCAGCACACGGCGCGGCGTGAAGAAGATGCGGGGAAAGGGAAGGAAATGAAGACGAGAAGCGGTCGCGGGCGGAATGGTCGCGTCGTGCTTAGCATCGTTTCACGACTCTGAAATACGAGCGAAATCAATTCGCGACGTGACTGCGAACGCATCGATCGCCACCAGCGGAAGCTCCCACTAAAAACGTCCCGGAAGTTTAATAGTCCGTTCCCGATTGTACGAAAAATTTTACATTTTACGATCGATATCATTGGCAATTCTTTGACGATTGTAAACCCGACGACTGACCAACGTGCACAACGGTATATCATTTGATTACTCGCATAGTCTTCTGTAAATTAAATTTTCATAAATGTCATTACAAATGGTTTAATTACAATGATCTTTATTTATTCGTTTATAAGTAAATCTTCATTAGTATTATTATCCTTGCATTGTAATAAAACGCAACCGCTGGCGTTAATAAATTAATTTGAAATTCAGCGAAAAGCATGTAATATTCCAATTTTATCGATATTGAGAGATTTATTTTATGTACTATTATACGATAATAATAATAATTTCTATAAAAAGCAAACGGATAATGAGCATAAGAGCCTTTCGTATTGTTTGTCCTTATACGTTAAATATTTTGCTTATAAAAAAATATACGTATAAATTATCATGGAAAACCTCGTAGTATAATTTGTGATTTTCTTCTTTTTGTTAAAAATGTTCTTCGTCGATTATTGTATGTAACTAAATGAAAAGAGAAGAAAAAGGAATTTACGGTAGACATCATTAGCGAATTTTCGACAGGACAGGAATAAATAACGTGCGAACGAAATTAATTCACGCAACGTCGCCATCAAATCTTCCATAGTTTCTCTTCTCACTGAATATTACATTTTCCGCCGACGTTTCCGGCGAGAACGCAGCGACGTCGTCGTGACGACTAGATTAGAACTGGCGCGTAACTTCGACACGGCAGCGTACCGTGAATTTCATAATTCATGGAAATAAACGCACACACGTGACTAATAGCGTTATACAATTAATAACCGGAGCATTTCGCTACGTGATTCGCGCGTAATTCGCGCCCGTTTGCTTTTTGAAAATCCTTCTATATTTTCACATTTCGCTCGCTTTACATTTAATTAACCGTTTTTGTTTATTGATACGCTTAATTAATTAATATCGCTATTTATTGTATTTATCATAATTAATACGCCTAACTTAATGACTGCAATTTTACATTTTCGACTTTAATATGTGACATTAAGCAAACGCTTTCAGGATGATTATCACATTCATTGATCTTAATGAAATAACATCTTATTACTTCTTCAGGCTAGAACGATAAATAATTGTAAGCCACTTCAAGATCGAAGACGAAATAATTCCAGTAAAATTCTGGTTAATACCGCCAGAGATATTCGTATATCTTAAATCACGCATGCGCTTTGTATTATTAAGGCGAGTATTAGCGATGGATAAAATCCCGGGATTCATATTTTTGCAGGCCGAACCAGCGTTAATGTACGACAGTGTACAGGTGTTCGCGGTGGGATTACGTACCCTGGAGCAATCCCATGCTTTAAGGCCCGCCAATATTTCCTGCGAGCTCGAGCACCCCTGGGACGGCGGCTTGTCTCTCACCAACTATATCAACTCGGTAAGCTTCCCTCTTTTGCATATCTTCACACCAATATACGCATGTACATATAATGCGTAAATTATACATATAATCGCAACTTTGAATTATTTGGATTATATTGGGCAGCATGTGTGTACATGGATTATATAGAACAGGTAACTTAACATATAGTGGCGCAATAATTGTCACTATGTTAGCCGGGATTAGAGAAGATGCAAAGTATACAATTTTATATAAATTGCAAATATAAATGTTTCTACTCTCGTAAATCTTATTGCTTATTTCCATAAACGTACGTTCGAAATACAGCAGGAGTCTACATTGTTTTTATGGCACGGAACGGCCCTTATTATTCGCGCCGCAAGACCGCGTCGTTCCCGCCGTAAATACACCCACGAGACATATTTTAATTTTTCATACCATCGTCCCGCGCACAGTCGCCGCAATGTCACGGCATCGCCACCTGCCTCTCGATTTTTTCTCCCGAGAAAATAGGCACATCGTCATGGGAGAGAAAATCCGCGCCCGGGAGCGCCGTCGTCGCTCTTTAACAGCGCCGCTTGCCAGATCCGCCTCGGGAGACACCCCGAGGGGGAAGAAACATGCTGCGATGGCTCACCGTAAATTACCGCTACTAAGATCTGGCTGGTGTCCAAAATAAACGATATCCGATATATAGTTGCTAGCAGTTTGCGCTCGGTTCGTGCAAATATTTAGCGCGAAAGGGAACATCGAATATTATTGTGTACGTGCCAGACACATGAAATTCGGATGAGTCTCGCTAAAAAAAAATTCTCTCTTTCTTACTATTTATATTAATATCTCACAATTAAGACATTGCAAAGATACATGCATGAAGATTACTTTTATTTTTAATTTCCAATGCGTTTATATTTTATATTCGAAGCTAGAAGCTCTCATCGAATCAAGTTCAATTCATATTGTTATATTATTTTTTCGGACTGCAATACTTTGATGAAGTGATTCTAGTAATTTCGCTTCAAAGAGAGAATCCGGTAGCGTGGGGAAAAAATGCGTTTCTATAAATTTCAATCAACGTTTCGCTGCGCGCGAGCGCATGTCGCTCGTACGAGACACCGCGCTACTACTAGCATATAGCAGCGCGACGGATAAATTGTTTAATACCATGATGGACGATTCCAAAGCTGTCACAGGCAGGGGCCACAAATCCTTCTGTGATGTTGTACTTCCCCTTTTCAACCTGTACGACATTCTTCCCGTTCCCGTGTCCGACAAGGTACGATATCCGCGGTTGCAGTGTTTCAGGATTGATATCCACTAGAGGCAGAAAGAAAATCGCGATATTGTTCTCAAATATAAAAAAATATTACACGCACGTTACATGTATAGACATAAAAATAATGTTATAAGCTCTTTTAGATATTTTATTATTTATAAATTTATTATTTTTTTAGGAAGATTTATTATATATTATTTATATTTATTACAGGTATAATATATTTTATAAAAAAGAGAAAAAGAAATATCTTAATTTTCTTTTATTTTCCTCCGTCTCTAATGGATATTAATCTCAACATATTGACTAAATACACCATATGTGAATACAACATGTTTTATGTTTTTAATGCATTACTGCTCATATATTACATCTCGTAATTTCACGTGAATTTTTGTATAGGAATAATTATAGTAATTTCGTAACTGATCTCCTCAAAACGTGCGCCAACGGCACGATCTCTTTTACACACGTTCGAACCAGTTTCCACGATTTTGATTCGGCGACCCTTCGTTAAGCGAGAAGTCCGTCGTACTATCTCCGAACCGGCGCATAGAGTTCAATTTTCCCGAATTGTACAGAGACTTTCGTAACCCGGCGCGTACGTGACTTTTGCGTTGCTTGTTAGGAAATAAAAAGTTCGTACGGTAAATGCACCGGCACGAGAGACCATTGGAGAATTTGAACGCGGCTGAAGCAAGAAAAGGTACGAGAAAAGTGAAAGAAACAAAGATAGACATCGAAAAGAGGAGAGAGAGGAGGAGGAGGAGGAGGAAGACGAACGCGCTGCGCGCATTTTCGCAGTAAGGAACTACAAAGAATAATAAAAATCGCGCCCAGTGTTATCTTATATACCTATATATACCGGAGAAGAAATTGATACCTAACCGTTAGTGTCTGCGCGTCGTTTTGTCAAGGAAATACCTGGCTTCTGCGAGAATTAGTTGAAACGCCGTCGCGGATGAAAGGAAGCGCGTGCGACGAACCCCGGGGTCACCGTGCAGAAACTAAATCAACCGTCGCGCCGCTTTAAGAGCACGACAAACATCGCGTACATCGCCAGACCTGTCGTCCCGCAAACGAAATAACATCGCATACTTCGGACGCAGCACAATGCCGGGCCGTTCCCCCGTTTACCGCGCGCGCACAGCAGCAGCGTCTCCTCGCTACTTGCATCCATAATTAGTTAAGTTTATCTTCTCCGTGCTCGCCTTCAGCTACTGTAGTTTGACCGTCTTCAGGACGGTGGAAGTGCCCAAGGGTTAAGGGGCGCTCCCACTGTCCGTAATATCTCGTCCCTCCGACTTTCGGAGTCTCGCCGCCGCCGCCGCTTCCTTCCTCTCGCCGATAGAACGCGCCGATTACCCGCGCGCGATCATTAATTTAATAGCGCCGCAGCGAGATTCCAATATCGGTCGGGGGAGGGGGAGGGGGATCTCTAATCGACTTGGCGGGTATTTCGCGCCGCCGTCCCATGCCGGCTGCTAGAAATTCCGACATAACGTCCGGCGTGCCGATGCAGTTTAGATTATGACGCCGAATATGTGGAAATTGAATTAGTGACGCCACCGTCGCGGCACCGTCGGGATACGTGTCCGTCTTATACGGCAGAGAGACCAATAAATATCATCTGATACGCGATACGGCTCGTGCATACGAGGTACGGCAATCAGGCTGTGATCGCACATTCGCACGTGAATGCGGCTGATTGCGATACATTTGTGCACTTGCGATATAGGAGAATACAATGCGAGTAACACTGAGATGCCTATAGAATTACCTAGAGATTCCGTGAAGCACTTAGTTTATTAATTAATTTATTAAACGCATGCAATGATATTTTAGCGATATGCTAGAGACATTAAAAGTTTTACAATTATAGAGAGAAACTATTTTACGCTTATTGCATCTTTTTTGATTGAATAATTTCTTTTTATTTTATAGATACAAAAAATAATGAGGGAAAAAGAGCTAATTTCGACTGAGGCTAGATGTTGATTACTTAACAATATTTTTAATTTTTACATCGTTAAATTTCAGTTAGCTGAAATTTAAAACGCGTAAACTGCGAATGAAACATTATACACAAATTAAATTGATCGTCAATTCAACGATGATGCTGTAAGCATCTATAATTAATTTATGATTGCGTTCTTAAAGAAAAATTAAGAATATTATTATAGGTTATCAACATCTAGCCTCGAATTTATAGCTTTTTTCCCTTATTATTTGTTGTACACATCGCATATCAGTCTTGTCTGAAATTATTGTTATTTTCTAGACATTTTCAAAGAGATATTTAAAGCTGTTGTCCTCGCAAAAATATCGCGAGAAATATATCCAGTCAATTTTGAGAAATTGAAATACGTCGGAAATAAAACTCGCTATTGCTAATATCATTTCTGCTTATTGCGTGAGTGCAAATGTTTAAAAGTGGAACACGCTTAATCTTTGATGTATATCTATTCATGTCATCCTTTCTTGCTCCTCGTGCATCGCAAAAGCGTCACGCGACAGCGTTGTGGAACTATTTGGCGGCCTTCCGAGAGTTTTTATTGCTGAATTAGCTATTTCGCATTGTTCGCTCTCGCGAGCTTTTCAAGGATCTTTGGTTCACTTGTGTAGATTTTGGCACTCGACCGTTAGACTCTTGTTTATTTCATTGGCATTATCCTACTTTCTTTATCCCGATTTTAGCCCGGTATTATCCCGGCGGCAAGGGCAAACGTAAAAAAAAAGTGGGTCGTCGGATTAAAATCCGTCCACTCACCAAATTTCCCATAAATAAGGCAAACGAATATTGCGCGCAAGGCTGGTCGGATCGATGAAGCGCCAAGCAGCGCTGCCCTTTTCTCTGAACTTCTAGCATTTTTTTTTTACGTATTCTACTTATATTAGCGAAGAATTCACAGTTTTATTTAAATATATAAATGCTTTAAAATTATTGATACTCTTTTAATGACAGATTCTAATCAATTTGAAAGAAATTTTCTTTTAGTAAGATCTCAAAGGAACTTACCGTGTTTTTAAATTGTTTACATTGATAATTTTGTTTATATTTTTAACCTTAAAAATTTTTATTAATATAAGTTCCACTTGAAAATAATTGAAGTACGTAATTATCCATTTATATAGTTTTTTTTTTTAATTTAGTTCACATAATCCATTTTTTTAATCGCTGTGATTCGAAAATTAGATATTGATACTTTAATATTTTAATTGAGAAGGAATTAATTTCATTAAAGTGAGAAATCTCATTGGTTTTGAAATTTCGTGTATGTACTTATTCTCTTGCACATGCTCAACTCCATTTAATTAAACTGAAGTGTACTTCATTTAACTTAATGCTTTTTGCGTATTTCGCCTTTTCAGATTCATTTCCGAAAAATTATCTATCTTTCGTGTTTCATAAAATTAGATCGCGATCGTATATCCTACAAGATTACAGTATTAAAAGTTATTCGTAGAAATTTTAAATATTTGACTTTTTTATCTTAAGTAGAACATAAAGGCACAATTTCCAAAGTGACGACGACTCTCTTTACATTTGTAACAAGTAAATTAGGTGTATTTTACACAAAGGACAACTTATCTCAGTGGAGCTTTCATAATATAGCGTCACGTAAAGTTTAAGAAGCAAAAGTTCAAAACTCAAGTCTTAGCATAAAAACAAAGTGGTTGTTGAGAAAAAAATTCTTTGTAAAGTAAAATTGAATTAAAAGAGAAAGAATTAATGTTAAGATGAATATTAATGTCGACT